GTCCTCCTCGGACCGTGTTTGTGAGGGTCTTTAAGCGGTGCTGCTGGCCTTGGATTCGGGGCAGGAGGTGAAGAAGGGCACAAAAAATCAGGAAAGGGGAGGGGGAGTGAAGTGGAAGACAGGTTTAGAAACTGGGACCGGTTGTCCTTGCGAGTTGCTCCCGGTTGGTATCGTGACATCCTAAAGGAGAACCCCTCGCGCATCGGCAGCGAAGCCAAAGCACAAGCAAATGATTACACCGAGCCTGGCCAGGATCAATCTGTGCAACCTCCATTACCATCACGCCGTTTGATCGCCGCGTCCAGGCGAACACCTCGGTCCGTGCCCCTAGCCAGGCACCCGCCGTGAGCCGTCCCAGATGTCCTGCCAGGAACCCCAGCGGCAAAGCGGGCCAGCCGCGTTCCGACGGGCTTCCCGCAGACAGAAGGGATCTCCACCTGGCGCCCACCGGCCGTGTGAAATTCTTCCTCGGCTCAGAAACATCAAAGGAAAATCAAAAGCATCTTCCAGAGTCGGATCCTGGCGGCTGAGTGTCGCCTGAGCATCAGCCTCAGAGGTCGGCTGCGAGGGAGCAATTTGTAGATCCGCACGGCTGAGTGATCACTTCGAGCGGTGATCATGAAAACTGGATGCCGTTGACATTAACAAGTCCCCTGGTGGAGATGTAATTTTGCGAAGCAGAAACACGCGTAGAGAAAGTTATTACTATTAACATTTACACTTTTGTGGCATCTTTTGCGGCAGAAGCAGAGCACACTTTTCGCAGTCTCAGCTGGATAACCTTTAGCAAATCATTTCACAGGGCTACGCCTCGCTTCCTGCTTGCAGAAGGCCTCGGTGAGCCCGCCTCAGGATGGGGTTAGGAATCCTTAGCTCGCTCCAGAGGCCAGTGAGCGTACACAGGAGGCACAGCCCAGGAGCCTTCAGGAGTTTGGGGTGAGGCAGGATGCACGGCTGGAGAGAGACTTAGGGAAGGGAAGGAAAAGGTAGGAATCTTTTCACTCTACAGTGGAAGGACCCAAACCTAAACATCGTTTGCTTCAAATACCTGTACCCCTGAAGTGTGTGCTATCCGCGCTGCCACTCCTCACCTGCAGCCCTTACGGACTGCGCTGGGATGGGTGGAGGGGTGCGCTCAGATGGGCGCCAGCACCGCTGGGGCCAGCTTGCCAATCCGTAACGATCAGCTGGCTAGCACAAGGCTCCGGATCCTCAGCTGAAGTCCGTTTCAAATAAGCTATCAAAACCTCCAGGAACAGGTAACCTCTTCCAGATGCTGTACACCTTCAGATCCCTAGGCTAGAGCTGAAAAGCTCCTGCACACAGCTCCCCAGACTCATCCAGACCTCTAATCTCAGTTGGGTATCCAGGTCCTCAAATATGCTTTGAATCCTCCTACGACTCTCTTTTGTGTGGAAAACTGTTACATCTTCTGACACTGCACATCACAGTTACCAATATCAGGCAATGAAAAAGTAACCTCAATGTGATGGAGCTTCTGTGCTGGGTCATCACTGTACAGGATGTGCTGCCATTGTGGTAGGAAAGGATAAAATCCTGGGAAACGGTTGTTTTGTCACAGGAGTACATTTTTATCTTGATGGCAAGAGGAGAGATTCTCAGGAAGGAAGAAAAAAAGGTAGAAAGGAAAAAAGAAGACAAGCTGTTTCAAACTGTGCTTCTGAAAGGTTATATAAAAAATCCAGTTTGGGAAGCTGCAATTCTTACGTACAGAAGAATATAAAAAGGATATCCATGTGGCAACTGCAGCTTCTTTCTTTCAGTTCAGCTCGATAATTTGTATTGACATGACAGGCATTGCCAAAACCTAAGAGACAAGATCATTGAGCATCTGTCTCTCGGGTCAAAACAATATATCAAGTATCAGTTCGAGACAAGGCTTTACACAGTGGCAACTACTTAATCAGTCCAGTCGTGCATAACTAATGAACTCATTACAGTTGTATCTGAGTGCGCCACTATCCAGCATCCCAAGTTTTACCCTGTATCTCTTTGGCATTAATATCATATGCTGCTTGCTTCTCTGTGATTGTAATATTCGTATATGGCACTGCAAAACACCATGAAGGCATTTGTTAATTCACCACTGAGAAGCAAGGATTACTGCCCTTGGATTATAGGTCAGAAAACAGTAGCAGAGAGATTATATGATTTGCCCAAGGCTGTAAAACCAGACAGTTCCAGATCATGTTCATTTCCAAAGTCTGCGCTGGGTCTACTAATCCTTACTTGTCTATCTGTATTCAAACACCTCTTTTACTGAGAATAAAATACAAAACTGGACCGACAGAAAGTATGTCTGTAAGGAATTACAGCTTCCACATTTCCTATATGTTGGTGTTTTATTTGACAAGCTTTACTCTTGGTTCTTTTTAACCTGAACAAGTCTCTGGCGGCCTGTCACAAAAGGTAAAATGAGTCACCTTTACCACAAAAAATGACAGCAGAGCAGACAGAAAAAGATACAAGCACTTGGCAAGCCAAACTGAATCCAGGGGCAGTGTGGTCTAACACTGGGACCTCAAACTACACAGCATTTACCCAAAATGAAAGGAGGATTCGCTCACTGCCTTTACTACATCAAGTTCTCCTCCTTCCTTCCAGCAACATCTCTCCCTCCTGTAATTCAGCTTCAGCCAACTGATTTTGGTCTGCGGGCTTATCTCCTGCAAGTTTTGTGACATCTGTGTCATGGCACTGATTGCATCAGCTGAAAAGAGACATATGAGCTGGTTGCCATCAACGGATTGATGGTATCGTAGCCCTCGGCTCCTCCTGACCTTTCCTACAGCTCTTCAGCATATGATGAAAAGAAAAAGAGACAGGACCAACCCCTGCAGGACTTTACATGGGAGCGGTCTCAGAGGAGAGGCACAGCTGTACGTTGTTTTTCTCCAGCTGATGTCTGTCAGAGGGGAGAGCCTGAAGGCTGCTTTCCACTGCCGCTACCTCCTCAGCACCTGGCAGCAGGGCTGCAGATGCAGTATATCCGTACACATCAGCTAACAAGTTCCATGGAAGATCATCAGCACACAAAAATAAGGGATACAAAGGTGCAGCTGTTACATAAATGATTGTTTCTTAGGCCAAACTTTCCAGTTTAATACTTCTGTGTGAACTCTTTTTAACACTGTTTTGTTAATGATGGAAATACATCATGAGTCTCAAGGGACTGCTCTCTGTTATTCAGCTGTGACATATCTGTGCTTTTCACCTGGTTCACCCACTGCAGTCAGTGGGAAAAGCATGGAGGCAAGTCGGGGTGGAGTTTAGTCTGACTACTTTTATCTCAATGCTCTGCAAGGATGCCGCATGCAGCCATATAACTCAGTGCCTCCACATTCTGCATCATACCCCTTTACATTTCTGAGGTCTAGAAGGACTGTGAACTTTTTGTACAGACCTTGCACAGCACAAAGAAGAAATACACACACGCTATGTGCTTTCATGGGAATTTCACTGTTCTACTTTATTGTTGTTGTTTCCTTCATTCTAGAATACAAGTACTTTTGGACCACAGGTAGACAGATGCTCTTTATATATGACAGGAAAAAAACAGCAGGTACTGCAGGAGTCAGTTAAAAGTTGAGTACAGATATTTTCCAAATATTTCTTCCTAGAAATTTTCCATTACAGTTTTTATTGCTTTCTTTAAGTCTGAGGTCTGCATGCCCCTTTACATTAAAGTGGCCCTACTGTTAAGAACACTGTCATGTCTTTCACTGAATCTCCAAAGCTGGATATAACGTGTTCCTGAGTAACATAAAAACCTTCTGCAGTACAGGCACCTTGCTGGCAGGTAGTAGATAATTTATGCCTCTCAGTTACCTGCTGAGAGAACAGTTTAAACAAGACTAAAACAATCATTGGAGTCTAGCTGTTGTGCACTGACTGCAGCACTACTGCATGTTTCAGAACTACTGCAGTCAAGACAGTTTTGCAGTGATTTGCAGAAGCTTTATAAAATATTTGCAGGCTGTTTTACCTTTACTCCCTCATCGGGAGTGTCAAACAATGGGGAAGAGGGCTGAGATCTGAATCTGAATTCAATGCATAGCCCAACCACAGTTTTCCTGCATGAGGATTTACATGTCATATGATCTAGCAGGGGCTGACGTCTCCACCTGTAAAACAGAAATAGGTGCATTAGTGGAGTTTAGCTAACACCCCTTGGATTGTGATGGTGCCTACATACCCCAGTAACTGGGACCCAGCTGGTTGTTTTAGAGCAATATAGATTTCTGTTCTGCTGGAAAAATGTTTGACTTTAATATGCAAGCTCACATATCGAGACTGATTCTGCCATGCTGTTCAGGGGTACACTTATGCTAACAGCTGGCAACAGAGAAGTAAACAGGGCTTCTCCTGCAAGTAGAGTTGTTATGCCTCTGGTCTGGGTACACAAAATATTCCTCCATATGAAAGGCTGAATATAAAGATAGAACTATAAATATACAATCAAAATACCATTTGGTGTAAAACAATGTTTGCACTACTGGCCTCAGTCTTCAATGGAGCTGTATCCATCCACAGTAGCTGAGCACCTGCCTCCATATTATAACCAAAAATGTATTAGCATTCAACCACCAGCATGTATTTGCTTCAGACAAAGTTCTACTAAAATAGTTTTTGTACATCTATCCTGTGAGAATATATCAATACATCCAATATATACATATTCAGTACTTTTCCTTCTCCATATGTAGATAGAGAATTTTATATCTACTTCTTTTACGCATGTGTATACACACACGTGCACACATACACATGGCATATATTAAATAGATGCTTTGCGTGGATTTATATGATTTTATATAATGTTAGTAAATATCCAGTCAATATGGTTTTTTTCTCCATTTTTCAGTTTTCTTGGAATCAGTTTGTGTGATTAAGCACTGCCTGGTTGAACCCAAGATCATCAGCCACAATTAATTGTAGGACTATGCAGTCAGTAGCTACTACATGCAATAAGGCAAAGTTCAATGAGAGGGATTTTCTTTCTGAAAGACCTTGTCTTTGCAAGAACCACTACTCACAGCCATACGAAAAAAGCTGCACTGTGATGAAGCTAGCATAAAAAGCCCTCCAACCTAATGATCAAATTCCTTCGCTTTCTGCAGTTTTGCAGTCAGAACGTCAGTTTGGCTATTCAGTAAGGAATTTAGTAGGTCCTTAGGATTTTCTCTCTCTAAATCTCCTTCCTTCCTTGCATATTGCAGTAACCGTCTTCTAGTAGGGAAACAGAGAATGCTGCATGGGAAAAGAGATTGCAGAAGAAGCAGGGAAGCAAGTGGGAATAAGGCCTTGATACTAAACTCTTTGAAGGTAATGGATTGACTTCACCAGGCTTTGGCTCAATCCCCAGCTGTCAGGGAGAAAAGTCAGTAAAGGAAGGAGTCAAAACAGCTGAGAAACAATAGGGAAACAAACGAGGCAGAAAGAAAAAATAGTGAACACAAAAGGAAGAAATCAGAAGGGGTAAAAGGTAGAGTGCAAATGGGAGAGAGGCAGAGGAGAGCAGTAGTGGACACTGCTAAAACATCAACCTAGAAGAGTGAGAAAAAAACTACAGTGAACAATCTGTGAAATGGATCATGCAGGAAGCTGATTTGCTCTTGGCTTTTAAGGTGGTTGTCCACATAGCACAACCTCAGTGTTGCCAGTGACTGAAGCTGCAACTACACTTACCTTTTGATGTTCTTTGTGGCATGTCCCGTGTCCCAGCTCCTCTGGTCAGCCAGGCCAGCACTTATTTAGGGAACACCATGGCTCCCAGCTGCTGTACATATCCATGTTTCCACTACAGGGAGGAGGCTGGTGTGCATCTGGGTCTCACCTTGAGTATGGAGCTGAGCTCGTGCAGAAGTCAAAGGGAATGAAGGGAGCTCAGAGTCAGAGAAATATGCAGTCTTGTCCCTTGCCTCCACTGCAGCAATAAATAGATCATTTAAGGTGGGTCCTATAATCACCAGATTGTCTTGCGGGCCAAGAACAGGAGTTAGGAGACCTAAATTCTGTTTCAAAGCCCTGCCACAAGGCTTTGGCAACTGTTAATAACTCTATAACGTATTATTTTTCTAATTTTGTCCTCTTGAAATATGCATAAGCCTGGTGACAGGTGGTTACTCAGCTGCTGCTTGTGAAACAGTAAGATTTGCAAACAGCTTCCACTGTGAAGCACTCTGTTAGGGTCTGTGTTGAGAGTGGACCATCATAGTAAGATTTGGTTGTTTTCCCAGATCTTCCTTTAAGAATACATTCAATTTTTTAAGATACTTTGCAATACCTCTACATGGCTCTGGGCGCCATAACACAATAATGAAATCTTTGCAGCATTATAACAGCACTGGGAGAGAACTCTGGCAGCCAGGTGAATTCATTATCTTCTTTATCAAGGGTATCCTCATGCCTGCCTTCTCAAAAAACCTTATCAGACAGATGTTTGCTGAAGCTGAAAAATGTTTCTCTCCTCCTGGGATTCAGTCTGAGTCTCTGGAATTGCAGTATTGCTCCAGGACAGCCAGACGACAGTTCCCTGGGATCCAGAAGACTGATGGGGGGGCCCAGACAGCATCTCCCCTCCCCTTGCCTCCCTGTGCCTTTGGGAAAATGCTGAGCAGAAGAGCCAGCCTGAGACTACAGCCAGCTGCAGCCAAGGCCATGATCTCTACACATGCAGGTAAAGGTTTGGATTTCAGACAGCAGCATCTTTGCTCTGTCTTCGTTTGCGGCCTTCTGGGAGCACGTAGGCTGAGAAGTCCCTCCAGGATCAGATGAGAGCTGGAGTGAATCTGTGGGAGACCAGGCTGAGCAAGGAAACACAACCAGGAACCAATGTGAAGGGCAGATCTAAGAGAGAGTGTGTAGAGACACAGCTAGGGATGGCGGGCAAAACTCATGGGTGGATGAGGAGTCTGCGACTGCATGAAGGCATTGGGGGCAGAGTCCAGGACTGAATGGTGGTCTGAATGAGGAAAACTCAACTAAATTTTCAAAACTGGCAGATGAAGCTTAAGGTAATAAGACAGAAGCTAGCAGGACAGAAGAAGGCACACTCTCCCCTAGAGCCGTTAGATTCCCAGGGTTCTGCTCTCAGTAAGTGTGTGCCTCAGCACACTCTAATCTACTGTTGGCAATCTGCTATTTCTAGGAGTTAACTCTGGTGTCTCAACTACCAGGATGGGAATGCTGAGTTTTACTGATGTCAAACATATAATATAGCCTGCAAAATGGAAATCTTTTTTATCAGGATTGCTTTTTAAAAAAAACAAACTAGGAAATCACATGTACGCAAATTCTGTTCAGAGGAAACAAAGTCACTCACTCAAAATTTAGGAGATGCTACATTAAGAATGCTTCAAAAACCATACTAGCCTCCTTGAACATGGTTTGTGAGACGGAGTTTTTGACTACATAATTTTTTTTTCCCACAGATTGCCTGTTTGTTGCAATAGCTGGGAGATATTTAATTAAAGGCAGGAGATAACTGGAAGGAAAAAGATGGTCTTATCATTAATGCAATGTGACCTCTATAACATTGGGCAAACTGCTTAAATGAAAATTTTCCTACATTATTTCTAAGTGTTCATATCTGTCTTTCTAAGTATCCAACCTGGTATCTGATCAGATTTGCAGAAATGCTGAGCACTCACAAGAGAAACTGAATTCAATAGGAGAAGTTCAGTGAGTACTTAACACTCTGCAGAGCTGACTGTTCTGAAATAGGAGATCTTAGACAGTTAGACTGTACACTCAGAACAGGAAACTCAGCCTTCTGTTCCCTATCTATGAAGTGGAAGGGCATCATCTTTTGTCCTACTATGTATGGGAAAGACAAACTTCTCAACAGGCATGAAGCACTCAGGCTTTTTAATGATAAACAACATATAAAAGACCCTGTGATAAAGAATATAACTCACATTAAAGGAAAGTCTGAGTCGTGTACAGTAAGGAGGCAAGGGGCATATATGATCATGGAGGTTCAATCAAAATATGAAGAGCTACGCATGTACTGAGCACCATCTATTCTGTGCACTGAAAGAGGATGGGGGTTGTGGAAAAGTAATTCGGTCAAATATTAGCACATGCCTGTTTAGCTAAGAAAACAGTTTTGGAGGAAACGATCAGTGACAAGACAAGAATGTGTTCAAAAACATTCTGTCAAGCCTATGCAAAAATGTGTTAAGGACCTATAAAATAGAGATAATGACACTTCTCCTTGCTAGTGAAATGCTTTGAGAACTGCTGGTGAAATCTGCTACAAGACTTAATGCATTTTTCTTTTCACAGGAACTAAAAGATCTTACCGAGTGACTCCAGGATAGCTCAAAGGATGGATCTGAAGACAATTGCAGTCAGTGGGAAGTTAGTTAATTTCAGGAGTTTTGGAGTGAAATCCATGAGCCATCAAACCCAGTTTCATTTTATGAAGTGACTTGATGTCATGAGCTGTAGACCCTAGAGACAAAACCATGGAGTTGAGGCTATCAGAGTGACATAAGCTAGGATCTGGGTTTGGTTTATTTTTTAAACAAGTTGCGTCTTGGCAGCAACCCAGAAAAAGAAGCAATATATATGTATATAAAAATAAGAGGAAGGATAGCATGGTAATAAAACAGCTACTGAAACTAGACCTGCACAGACAGTGAAGTCTGTGAGGTGTAAGAGGGGGACAGCACTGAGACACGAGTAACACATTGTCCAGCTGAACTAGCAAAAAGCCACAGAATGAGGTTTAGCTGAGGCTGACGGGGTCACCTCAAGCTCATTTCCTCACGTGCACTGCAGAAGGAACACAGCCGAAACGGCTGGGGTTTTTTTCCTTCTGTCAGTTATATAGCAGAAAAACTGAGTGCCTGCTGAAGGCGCTTGTCAATGACAAGCAGCAAATGGTAGCACTAAAAGCGCAAGCCAATGCAGCAAATGTGACCGAAGTAATGCAGGCTGACAGTGAAAAATGCTGCAGATTTGAAATGTGCCATAGCTTTCTGACTATGGAAGGAGTATATCTGGGCAACGAGCATGGGAAACAATGACAGGGCACGTGTCTGAGATGTTACTATGGGAAGACAGAAAGTGCCCTAAGCATCTTTTAGAAATGGAGTCTAACCACTATGGTGGAAAA